GCCTTCTGCAGATCGATGAAGCACATGTAGAGCGGGATTCTCCTCCTCCGCCCCAGCTCCTGGAGTCGGCGCACAACGAACAGCATGCATACCGTGGATCGGCCAGGCCGGAACCCGCACTGTTCCTCCGGGAGGATTTCGTTGGCTTCGCAGAATGCGCTCAGGCGGTTGGTGATGTTGAATACAATGTAGCGATGGAGGGGAAGGCTCACACGTGGTTTTTTCTTTTCTCCTCCTACACACCAATCCGAAGGCTCACACATGGTTTTTTCTTTTCTCCTCCTTCATTCACACCAATCCGCGCATGACCGCTTTCATATCCTGGTACGTTATGCTCGCTCGGCCTGTAACCGCCCCACGTTATCCCATGTAATAATAACCCCTGGTTGGCCGGAGGTTANCTTCCTTGACTTCGACCTCTCGTGAGTACGTGGGAGAGACAAGGAACTGCGGGCTTGCCACAGGAGATGGGGAAAGATAGAGAGAGTGGTGGTACACGCAGCATGAACGCTGTCCTAAGATGGCTGGTGGTGAAGTAGCACGCGCCTTGCGCGAGGACAGCGAGCGGTGTTCTCTACTTCATCGCTCATATTCTGCCGATGCCAGTCTACCGTTCAGGCACGAGTGCCGAGATTAACCACGAGAAACTTGGTGCGTTGAGGAGCGAGATCTTCTTGCAGGAGCGAGATCTACTTCAAACGAGACTTCCGCCGCGTTACAGGAGAGAGAGGTCCCCTGATCCACTTCAAACGAGAGTTCCGCCGCGTTAGCCGCGTTAGGTCCACCTCCGCCCGCCGTCGGAAGCGTCGGAACTCGAGTGCGGGGTGTTGGTGACGTGTGTTCGTGAGCGTGGTCTGCTGGTGGTCTGTTGGTCGAATAGCCCAGCCATTTTCGGGTAGGCGAGAGTAAGATCGGGTACCCCTCCGGGGGGTGAGTAGCCAAGATCGGGTGCACCCGGTGGGAATAGGGTCAGGGCCGGGTAGGGGTGGGCGTCGGCCAATCAGATGGCGCCAGGAGGGCGCTGCCGACTGTGAAAAACAAGTGTACCCGATAATGGCCGGATTGGGGCCGGGTGTACCCGATTTTGGCCACTCCTCAATGAAAAATATAGCTGTTGTAGGCATTTCGCGTTAGAACAGAAAGGCGAGGCACGGTGTATGGGNCAGCCATTTTCGGGTGGGCGAGAGTAAGATCGGGTACCCCTCCGGGGGGTAAGTAGCCAAGATCGGATGCACCCGGTGGGAATAGGGTCAGGGCCGGGTAGGGGCGGGCGTCGGCCAATCAGATGGCGCCAGGAGGGCGCTGCCGACTGTGAAAAACAAGTGTACCCGATAATGGCCGGATTGGGGCCGGGTGTACCCGATTTTGGCCACTCCTCAATGAAAAATATAGCTGTTGTAGGCATTTCGCGTTAGAACAGAAAGGCGAGGCACGGTGTATGGGTGAACGCAGTCGGTGTCGTACTGCTGTTGATACGTAGCAGGGGAAGGCAAAAAAAAGTTCCCTCCGCTACAGCAGCGATCAATGCTGCAAACGATATGTATGTGTGCATCTTCACGGCTTGACGGCCTTCCGTATCCGTTGTACGGCCGGGATAACGAGGTACTGGAAGTGTGTGGTGACCTCCTACATAGCCCATATATGCAAGACGTGGTGAGGGTTTTGGGTGTTGTTTACATTGCGGAGAAACAGCAGGTACACAGCAGCAGTACTCTGTACTACTACCGATCCGGTGCTCCTGTGCTTCGGTGCTGGTGTGCACGTGTGCACATGCGGCTGTCACGCATGTTTTAACGGATTGACCAAACCCCAACTCGCGAACTCGCCAACGCGCGCGACCTAACGTCCGAACCCCAATAACATATGTGAGACGTGCTTGAACCAAAGTCCACACTGATTTGTCTTGCAAATACACCATTAAGATAGATATTCTAGATGTGTGTGCTCTACAGCGGCTGGCTATAACCGGTGGTTGCCGCTCTGTGTACAATACGTAATCAAGACACCGCGTGTATGTTCCTTACCACGCTCATCCGATCACGACGACCATTGCTCAAGTGTGAGAGTACATGTCCCGTAGGGTTTTGATGGTCGGGGGCAGCCCAAGGCTATCTTATTCGGTCTCACACAAAGGTGTGCGGCGTGCGCAAAAAAATGACAAAAAAAAAATCTCGACCTGTCTACAGGGTACGTACGGAGTATTCTTCGGGTGATGCATGTGACCGAAGACTCGGTTGGGTGTGACTTTTTTTTCCGACGGATTCCCCCCCCCCCCCACTCACATTGCACCATACAGTGCTTGTTCGGGCTAGGTTTGTGTGGACCAGGCGTGCTCCCACCCGCACTGGGTAAAAACCCGCCCGGTGTGTTATGCAGCTAAGCAAATGTCCTCGGCAATCCATAGTCTACCAGGCAGAAATAAACTGAGAACAAAGTAGGGTGGTTGGCGTTGGCAGGGAATATATACTGCTGTAGGGACGCAATGGTCTGACAGGAATACAGGCTAACAGGGAAAGAGAGAGAGAGAGAGAGAGAGAGAGAGAGAGAGAGAGAGA